AATATATATAATTTTTTTTCTGTAACAAGACAGTGCAAGGAGTGTGCCAGCTTGCTACCTTAGGTGGCTTTTAAGGCATACATAAAGGAACCTGATTCACATGGAAAAAAATGGCATTTTAACTGGGTTGATTCATTGCCAATCATTCTGGCTCTGAAAGCAGTTATGAAAGAGGTCAAAATATCTCCTGTACTTGAAACAAAATATTGGCTGGGAACAAAACCATTTATGTTTGTTATTTTTATCCAACATAATGGCTCAGATGAACTCAATATTGGGTGGAAAGGGAAAAATACATTTAAACGTTGATTCATGTAGAAAACAAAAAGTGATTGGACAACTGATGTTCACTTGTGTCCACATAGTCTGTCTCATATTAAAAAAAAATAAAGCTAAACCTAACAGAGTATATTACTCACATCAAAAGCAATTTCTTAGAGACCTTCGTAGAAGCTGTTGTTGCTAGGTGCCAAAGAGTACTCATAGTGACTCTGTGAATTATAATAGATCTGAACTTCGCTCTATCCTACACCATCCTCCAAATCTCTGATATGTTCCATCACATTGTGACAGTCATTGTGTCCACACCTTATTCTGGAGGTTTTTCTCTTTCTCTAACCTTCTACCTTCCCCACTATGATGTCTTTTTCCAACGACTTGCCCCTCCTGACAACATGTCAACAATGTGAGACCAAGTGTCATTCGTCTTTGCCTTTAAGAAGGATCATGATTCCAAGTCCTCTAAGACAGTCTTGTTTTTTCTTTTGACACTCCATAGGATATCCACTACTTTGAATAATGAATGAATTTTCTTCCAATATTGATGCCACAATCTTCTAAATTATAGTCTAGCTTCACAAACACCATCGTTCAAAGGCATCAATTCTTCTCTTATCATTCTTATTCACTGTCCAACTTTCAGATGCACAGGAAGTAATTGAAAAGGCCAAGTGTGGTCTATTGGTCTTGCTATCTATTTTCTGAGACAAGTTTCTAATCTAATTTAGGTTCCCTGCAGGCGGATAAGCAACCTACATAATCAACAGCTGTGTGAGTAATTTCTTCCTGAAAATACCTGTTAGCCTATCCACAAGGGGATTTTCTAATCTTGTTATTACATTGAACAGATTCAGCAGAATTTGGAAAACCAGGAAAGAAGCAGCAGAGTAAGCAGTGTGTAACCTTTGGGCCCAGAGGTTGCTGTGTTGGTGGCAACTGGCTGCAGACTGAGAATCTGCCTTTATTAATTGAAGGATTATGTTGATTGAGAAGCTGTCTGAACTGAGAAACTGTCTTATTGTTAACTCAATTTGGGACTGTTATTTACTAAACCCAGACTTTCACTGTGTGATGTCCTTTGCCTTATTCCCTCCTCACCTAATAAACCCTAAACTGTGAGTAAAAGAGATTCTGTAAAGTCTGAGGTCATCTGCAACAAATTTGGGCCAGTAATTAGTAGTAGATATAAAGGGTCATGTCTGATCTTATATGTACCAGTTTTATACTGTGGATATTGTTGAAGGGGACAGTTCCCCTTTGTGGAGTTAAGAGACATTGGACTTGCCTTTCCCCACACTGTCCTTATTCTTTTCATAACACAGTTTACATCCAACACGTTAGTCTTTAGAGTGATATTGTTGCTCCTTAGTACTTTGGGGAGGTCCTTGAGAGTAGATTGTTCTAATGCAACACGTTGTTTGATTTCTTGACTGCTATTACTATGGTTGTGGGTTGTGGGTTGTGGATTCAAGTAAAATGAAACTGTTGAGAGCTTCAATCTGTTCTCTATCTATTATGATGTTGGCTTTTAATGCAGTGGTGAGGATTTTTGTTTTTTTGAGGTTGAGATATAATTTATATTGAGGACTTCTTTTTTTTTTGTGTGTGTGTGTGTGTGTGAGTATACCGTCAAATCAGATCTGACTGGTACAGGAGGAGATTGTCCCTCCTTTTCCCAGCAGAGCATCTGGTGGATTCGAACCATGTGCCTCTGGGATTGTAGTATATTGAGGACTTCTCTTCAAGTCCTCCTAGATTCTTTCTTATTCCTTCACCACTGCTTTTGATCACTAATCTTGTCTATCCTAGTGATTTTCTCCTCTTCCTCTTCTGCCTCATGTCTCCTTCCCCTTTTAAATACATATCTTGCTCAGTTATTCTCTTATTTTCACAATAGTGGTCATATGCAGTAGTTTTCCTTATTTGACTTAACTGTTTTACTGAGCATAATACACACTAGTCTCTCCCATGTTGTAGAGTATTTTACAGAATAGTTGTTCTTTAGTGCTCCATAGGATTCCGTGTGTGAATGCACTACAGTTTCTCAATTCATTTGTTTGTTGATGGGGATTTGGGCTGTTTCCATTTTCTTGCTGTCATGAATAATGCTGCTGTGAATTAGATGTACATTATGGTCACTCATGTCTCAGCTCTTATTTCTTTGGTATATACTCCTAGCTGTGGAATAGCTGGGTCATAAAACCCAATCATAAAATGGGCAAAAGATGTGAAAAGTCTTCTTCATAATGTAGGACATTCAGATGGCAAAAAATAAAACAAACAACAAACGTATGAAAAAAATGTTCAAAATCATTAGCAATCAGAGAGATACAAGTCAAAACAATAATAAGATACTAACACTAGTAGCTAGGTTTAACAACACAGCAAACAACAAATGTTGGAGAAGATGAAGAGAGATTGAACTCTATTTTTTTAAAAATAATTATTTTTCTACTAGTTTATTTGTAAGAAAAATTGAACTCTTATGTATTCCTGGTGGTTTTCCATTTTCTTTTTATTCTTCCTTTATCATTAAAGATTTTGTCCAAAGAATTCTTCACTATTGCATCTGAAGCTTGTATTTCATTTTACTTTTTTCAATATTCATATATATATATATATATATATATATATATATATATATATATATATATATATATATATATATTGGATGAGGACATTATGGTTAGTAAGGTGGGGGAACAGTGAAAGAGAGGAAGACCCTCAACCAGGTAGATTGACACAGTGATTGTGGCAACGATGGAAAGTGTGTCAGAGATTATGAGCAAGGCACATGAGAGGGCTGGACACAGATCTGTTGTTTGCCGAGTTGTTTTGAGTCATATTCAACTTGATAACATCTAACAACAACAATAATATGCAAACAGAAAATAAATTGATTACGATAACTTTTTGTTTTTATCTTCTATCCAGTGGGAACCAACTTATAATAACCCTTTAGTAGATTTGTGGAGGCTATAAAGTGCATAGGAGGAGACTGGCTATCTTTCTTCCACAGAGCAGTTGGTGGATTTGAGGCACATGCCTTTGTTTGCAGTGTAACAAAAATGAGAATTCAAGATGTGTCTATCTTTTTCCAACAAGGGTCTAGAATTTATATTGCTTAGTTAATTTTCCATGGGTTTGGCACTATCTCATTTTGTAAGTGATTTGATGAAATTTGGTTTCTGTTCTAGGGTCTGAATTATTTCTGACTTGAGGAGTCCAAAGACCAAAAAATGGTAGTAACTTTCTTTTTATGTCAGTGAGAAGTGACTGTACACTATCATTGTACTCTGCCTCCTGGAACACCTGACAAAGGGTCTGATGCCAAGCTGGCCATATAAGCCAAACTAATACGGGGACATAAAAAGTTGAGGTGAGTAGCATCTTATCCCAATTTCTTCCTTCTTGTGAGGTGGATGGTTTTTAAAAATACATATAAGAAGGAAACTTAGAAGGAGTACGAGTAAGAAACACTAATAGGAGAGTATGACTATCACTTTGTAGATGATGTTATAACACAGATAGTACTGGCCAAGTCTTGGTGAGAAATATTCGAGGATTTATGGCCCACAAGACCTCTACTAGAACTGGGGTGGAAACAGTCATAGATACTATGTAAATCAAAGCGCATGACTGTGTTCCAATTAAACTTTCTCCATGGGATGGCACTTTGACTCTCACATTTTTAGGTATGATTAAATGTCATTCTTTTCCTGTAATTGTCCACTTTTAAGTATGTAAATATATTTTTTTTAAACTCACAGATTTAAATAAAAATTGTTCTGGCTTGGGTTTGACTTGGGGGCCATGGCCTGCCAATTCTTGTTGTAAAAAAAAAAAAAAAAAAAGAATCAGCCATTACTATCAAATTGGAACCTACTCATAATTGACCTTCTACTGGCTTTTCAGGGGCTGTCCACTGCCTGAGGACGAGACTGCCCATCTCTTTTCCTTGGAGCTGCTGGAAGATTTGAATCCCCAGAAGGAAGTGTGACCTTGCACCCAGGAGCACAGCTCCTTCTGGACTACACCACTGTAGACACAGCTCCTTCTGGACTACACCACTGTAGACACAGTTCCTTCTGGACTACACCACTGTACTTTGTTTTTATTCTCAGTGCTAACTTATCTGTGACTTTAAGGCAGTAAGGTGAGTGTTTTCATTTGTTTTCTTCCATTAGGAATTAATGTTGTTATTGTTCAGTTAGATATTATTTACTAGCATAGTTTCATATTTGAGTGGACTTTTAAAAGGTAGGAAAACACTGATTCCATTCATGTGGCATCACTACCAAAATGAGAAATGAAGTAGAAAGAAAGCATTATCTTGAGTTGCTTAGAAGGTTATTTTGGGGGAAAAAAAGTAAATGTGGGTTACAAAGGCAGAGAAATTCTGACAGTGTTTTCTATTCTTCCTCATATTGAAATAACCAATATTCTATCATGTTTTAAATCCAAATAACTTAAAAAATCTAGAACTACCAGATTACATCATCATACAATTTTCTTTAAAGAAGTTGAAATGTTTGATCATTTGATTACCTACCACTAGGTTTCCGATCACCATGACCATCATGTAAACAATAAGGCACATGGCTTGGCCAGCGACCTCCATACAGTCCCACATGGTCTCTATCCACTCCCCACACAGCACGCGGAACACGATCAGGAAGGAGTGGAAGAAGTCGTTCATGTGCCAGCGTGGGAGCGTGCAGTCCTCATTGATCTTGCAGACACAATCCTTGTAGCTCTTACCAAAAAGCTGCATGCCGACCACGGCAAAGATGAAGACGATGATGGCCAGTACCAGGGTGAGGTTGCCTAGTGCCCCCACTGAGTTACCAATGATCTTTATCAGCATGTTCAGAGTCGGCCAGGATTTTGCCAATTTGAAAACTCGGAGCTAAAAGTAGACACAAAGCTTAATGTTAATTATCATGAAGATGTTCTCAATATTTCTGACTTTGATGATTCAAAATTAAAGGCCAACATTAAGTCTTAAAATCCTTCCATTGCTACTTTTCCCAAGTCACCTATATTCCGTTTCCAACTGAAGCTGACTCTAGAACAAGAAAGATTCTAATTGTAAGGGTCAGTTAGGTGCAGTTTGTTCTGACTGTTTCTACAATTTCTGATACTGGCTGAACCCTTACTGCCTCCCACTGGAGCTTCCAGACTTGCCTCTGGACTCCTGGGCTCAGCCCATCTTCCCTGCTTCCCCAGGCTCAAGGCTGCACTGGCCACCCAAGCCTTCTCTCCTGGTTGTGTTTCCCACCTCAGCCTTTACCTATAGTTTCCTGACTGGGAGGGACTGCTGCAAGAGACCTCTAAATCCATAGCTTTGAGGAGAGACAAGAGCCAGAGTAGCCAGACAACCACAGTTTACCCTACCCCAAGCCCTTAGAGCCTGCACTGGACTCCCTGGCTTCCACCTCAGTGACTTCACACCACACTGTAGTCCTAGGACTGTCTCTGCTTCCAGAGTTACATGCGGGAACCATCTCTGAGGCACCACCAAGGCCATCCAAAGCCCCCCCACCCCCTCATTCTCGCTTGGACTTTGACCCTGGAGGGTTTGGGCACATCAAAGCAAGTGATTTCTGTGACCTGCTCAGAGCAAAGAGTGCTGTACAGTGTAAGAGGCTGTGGTGGGACTCCTGGGGTGGGTTGGACACAGAGCCCACAGAAGTCAAGGAGAAGGTACTACTGGTATATACTTTACAAATGGATTTTCAATTTGAGGAAAGTTTAAAAGCAAACTGTTCTAGAACTCAGAAGTGGACAATCTTCTGAATACACTAAAAACCACCAAAGTATACACTCTACAAGAGTGACTTTTATGTAATCTATATGTAAATGATAAAGGTAGATGAACATTATCTGCTTCCAATTTGTAAAAGAAAATCCTTAAGATATCAGGGGTCTAATTGGTCTGGTGGCACAGGCAGTCCTGTCAAGTGTTGAGCTGCTAACATAAAGGTCCCAGCCAGAAGAAAGATCTCATCCAGTAAAGATTAACAGCCTCAGAAACCAACTGAAGGGGCTTTAAGTCAGAATGAACGCGAGTATTATAACAAAGTGCACTAAGAGCTGGAAGAAGATAATAAAAAAGGGAGAATACACTCTTTCTATAGCTGAAAGAACTAAAGTACAAATTCAAGCTGAGACACAAAATCACACATAATGGGAATATTTCCAAACAAAGAAAAGTTTATAGAGAGTCCATATACAGATTTTTCAACTGCGTAGAGGGATCACCTTTCCTCTCCTGTGTTGCTCAAGGGTCTGCTATACTTTGAATTATTTCTGTAACCTTGGTATGACTACCAAAACATAATTAACCATACATAATCTTAAAAGGAAATGTGCAATGGTAGTTTGTTGTTGTTGAACCATCAAGTCAGAGCTGAGTCCCTAGCCGGTTTTCAGATTGTAAATCACACAGGAGAGAGTGCCTACCTTTCTCTTACGGAGCAGCTGGTGGATTTGAACTACATGCCTTTGAATTGGCAGTACAACTCCTTACATCCAACTCCCCACTGTGATAAAAGCTTTTACTTATGGTTTTAGGTATTATCCTATTTAGACTTCATAATTTATAGCTCATTCTATTTTCTGATACTTGCATGTATTTTTTCATACTGAAATTATGATTAATCTCAACATATTAGGAAAAGAAAATCTTAGCTAGTCTTTAAAGTCAGTTAGGCTTTAAAAAAATAAAACTGATACCAAGACAAGAGTTTTAGAGCAATGATTTAATATTAGTTAACAAATCCATAAACTCTGATTATACTATAATGATTAAAATAAACTATAGGTTTCCCAGAGAGTGGACATGTAGGTAAAAAATTGGGTTACTGACTCAAAGGCAGGTGGTTTTAAGCCCAGAGTCCTTCCTCAGGAGAAAAATAAGCATTAGCCTCCTATTCATTTCATACCCTCCAAAAACCCACTGGACGGTCAGCTTCTGACTTCACAGCTATGAGTTTGACTTGTGATCAGCTTCTCACTGTGAAATAAACTCCTTACCAGGAAAAAAGAAATATTTTCTTTAAGAATATATAAGAAAATATTCTATTAATTGAATATGTCTTTTAGATTATAAAATTATAATAATCATACTGTACAGAGCACTCCAAGTACACCTGTTAAGAAATTTTATTTTATAAGAAAGATTATCAATCATTGAATGAAAATCTAACTTCTCTGTAAATGTACATTAAAATCACAATTAAAATTTTTTTTAAAAATAAGGATATCATGTCATGAACTTACCTTTAAATTTAGAATCCAAGAGATTTCAAATAAAGCAGCAGAGCTCAAAAAAAGATTATATAATGGTGATGTTCGGTGTTACTTACCAATCTGAAAGATCGAAGAACAGACAATCCTTCCACATCATTTAGAAAAAGCTCTACTATACTTAATGTCACAATGAAGCTGTCAAAAATATTCCAACCTACTTGGAAATATTCATATGGATCCATGGCAATTAATTTTAAAACCATTTCAGCTGCAAAGATCCCAGTGAAGACCTAAGTGACAAAGAGAATGTTTTTTCTGTTATTAGAAGACATAGAAGCAATATCATAATAATTAGGACTGTGAATTAAAAAATGTTAGTGTTAACTGTAATTTGGACAGTATACTAGACATTTTACAGAAGTACTTCATTATCTTTTTTTAACCCTAAAAGCTACAAAGCTTTATTTCTATGGTTTCTAAGCATTGATGCATTAAAACTATAACCATCCTGTCAAAGAGCATATTAAAACTCCAAGTAAATACAAAGCTTCAATAATTAAAATAGTAATTGCCCTTTGTAAAGTTATATCCTTTCCCCCAGAAATTATTTTAGAAGAAGAAAATTTAAATTGATAACTGAAGTTTTGAGCCAGTCTTTTTTCCCCCTTTCTAGCCTGATTATAGTCAGAACAATAAAGACTATGTTGACTCACTCTTGAAAGATTTATCAGTAGAGGAGGAAAATGTGTTTAATTGACATAGTGGCAGCTCAAGTAAGACTCCCAAAGCTTTGAAACAAAAATGCATTGCAAAACTTCATTAATTCATGACACTAGCATCAGGGGATCCACTTTAAAATGTCACAGTTGGAAAGACTTGTTTTTTATTGTGGTACTTTTAGACTCAAAGAACTGATGAAAATGTCTAAAGGGAAGTAGGTCTACAAAGGTGTAGTGAAGGTAGTAACAGAGAACACTTGGATGTGCAGGCATGTTAAGAAATGAGTGGTATGGTGCATCCTCTTGGAGTTCATAGTAAACCATGAGGCTCAGCCAAAGGTTACCAGTCATCTACCAACAATTAGAGACCAGAAGGTCCTGCTTTCTCCCCTAAAGAGGAACAGAGGAGAAGAATACTAAGTTTCAGAGCACAAGGGATATAAACATCCTGGTAAAAATCATAAACAGTTCTGGAGAGAAGACACAGAAACAAACCATTTAGCCTTAAAAAGATCAACTATTATGGGACCATAATAAAAGTCAGATTGTCCAATGAAGACATTCACAAAGACACCTGGTGTTATTTTTTACTTACAAAGACTCTTGAGCCTTGAAACAGAGCTTCTGTCTGCTTCATGTACACTGTCAGAAACTAGCACTTTTTTTTTACTGTCAAGTGATTAAACCAAAGTGTGATCAGCATTCCCATGTAAGAGATCATTCTGCCATCAGTTTGCCTAGCCACATCTTAATGTCTTCCTGAGGTCTACAAACCACCTCCTTGCCCTGTGTCTTCTGTAACCAGTTCAATATTGTTTAGTTTCTCAATATCTTTGTTTTAAAGGCTTATCTGCTTAAGGGGTAAAAATTATGATAATTTTTGAGTGCCAGGCTAGTAAGTAGAAAATGTTTAATCTTACAAAAACTTTTTAAATGAAATATTACTAATATTTTTTTTGTAAAGGAAAAAAATTAAAGAGCTTAACTACTTATCTAAGGTCACACAAATGGTAAGAAACAGAATGAAGATTTAAGAGTCTATCTGTTCAGACAGGAAAACTCTCAGACATATCACTTTTGTTGCATCAAAACAATGCTTCCCTAGCTTTTCTAAAAATATGTGGAGTATGTACTCAACAAGGAAGTACCAATATAGCTATAAAATATGAAAGAAAATATCAAATTTTGAAAGTATTACTCTCAAGAGTCCAGCTAGCAGAATATAAATAAAGAAATCCCACACCACCAACTATTAAGATGGCAACCCTTGATTGAAATAGCTATGTTATTTATAGAGTCCACCACTAATGCAAGATTACCTAAAAAAATAATATATATATAACAAGATACTTGACTCTGCACAATGATTGCCATTGTTAATTTTTGATGTGCATAATTACCTAGCTGTGGGTTCAAATGACTTAAAAATGAAATGACAGAGAAGAGAAATTATGGGTATATAACACATTGTAACAAACTTACCAAATTTCCCACAATAAGCATATTTTTGAATTCTTCAGTCATTGGGTGATGTTCCATAGCCATAAATAATGTGTTTAAAACAATGCAAATAGTTATGGCAAGATCTACGAAAGGATCCATTACAATGAAATGGATCAACTTTTTAAATTTTATCCAATATGGAGAACAATTCCAGATCAAAAAAGTGCGTGCAAATCTGTACCACCAAGGTGGGCATTTTTGTCTGGATTCTTCAAGTTCTGGGAGGAAACAAACATCCACACCATCAAAACAGTGGCATGAAGTCAGGCATGTGTTTATTTTATTTCTAATTAGATAAAAGTACTAATACATCTTAATACATAAGCAAAACACCTAAGCTTTGCAAATTTAATAGAACTATAGCCATTAAAGAGCTACATATTCTAGAAAAGTCTTATATATATTTGTTGACGAACAAATCACCAGTGACAATCAGTGTCAACCATCAGCAAAGTCAAGGCAGAGAAATTGATTGCTGAGAGCAGATCTCTCAGGGAAAACTTCTCATCCTAAATGGATGGTATAGAAGAGTACTAATGTTTCTTTAAAGTAGAAATGTACGTTTTCACCAATATCCATGCTTTTCCACTGTGTTTTTTATGTCTTTGAGACAACAGGGCAATTCTATTCCATCTAGCAACAGTCCTGGTTAGTTTACATGTTAAAAAAAAAATTCTGGATGCTGAGTCAACAAACAATGTATGGATGACCAGACATTTGTCACTATCAGCCCATTTACTTCTCATTATTGGCTTAAGAGGTGAGCAGAAACTTTGCTTGGATTGATGGAGGTGGAAAATATGGGAGGGGGCCACAGAGAAGGTAAGAAATGCAGAGGTGGCAGGGGCACAGTTTTTTTTAAACGGCTACCCTTAAAACCCCTTTTCAGTGAAACTTAGGATCTAACAATTGCTTGTATCCACAATCAACACTCTTGACACTGTTGTTGTTACGGGCTGTTGAGTTGCCTGCAACTCATAGTGATCCTACGTACAACAGATCTAAAGCCTGACCTGTCCTGAGCCAGTCTCACTAACTCTGACACCCTTACTCCCATTACCCCAGTTACTGTATCAATCCATCTCATTCAGAGACTTTCTATCCTGTGCTGTCCCTCCACCTGTCTGAGCATGATGTTTTTCTCCAAGGGCCGGTTCCTACTGACCACATGCCCAAAGTATGTGAGACAGAGTTTCAAAATGCTAGCTTCCAAGGAGAAACTTGGTTTCACCCTCTCCAAGACAAAAGTTTTTTTTTAGCAGTCCATGGTATGTTTTTGACACTAGCAGTCAGGAAATCAAAAGACAATTTGCTTTAGGAAAGTCTATTGTCAGGGACCTCTCCACATGACTAAAGAGCAATGACTAAGAGTAGAAACGAAGATGTGCCTGATTCAGGCCATGGTCTTCTCAATTGCCTGTTATGCTTGCTATTGCTTGCTTGCTACCTGAGAGTTGGACAATGACTACAGATGACAGAAGAAGAATCAACGCTTTCAGTTGTGGTGCTGGAGAAGAGTATTGAACATATTATGGACTGCCAAGGGAATGAACATGTCTGTCCTGGAGAGGGTGAAACAAGACTTCTCCTTGGAGGCAAGGATTTCAAAACTCTGTCTCACATACTTTGGGCATGTTTCCAGGAAGTACAAGTTCTTGAAAGACATCATACTTGGATTGGAGAGGGTCAGTGCAGAAGAGACCCTGGAAAAAATGGATTGACACAGTGACTGTGGCGATGGGGTCAGATGTGTCAGAAACAGTGAGAACAGGTCAGAATAGGGCAAGGTTCAGGGTTATTGTTCATGGGATTGCTATGAGTTGTAGTCAAGGTTGACGCAATGTCACCTAACAATAACAACCAACATTGTAACACTATTGTTCACAATGCATCCTTCAACTTTTTGTTGAATCCTTTAATGTCCCTCCATCATAATTTGAACAGGATGCCATTTTACAAAAGCCACTTTATAGAATAGATTTAGAAATAACAACTTCTAAATATCTCAAATCCATATTATTTTCTTAATAGAAGAGGAAAGAAATTCATAGACTAGATAAATTTTCTAAGATCACACAGTAAACTAGGCTTAACCTAGGTTTCAGTATCAACTGCCATTACATGACTTATACATGCAATGTCATGTTTCCCAGAGATCTTTAATCTTAAGTAACCTTAAATAAGATTTGATTGTCTTTTAGATGAAAATTTGCACAACAAATTAGGTTCCCTTTATCTAAATACAAAGTGAATTCTATTAGTACAATAGGTTGGTTACCATTGCTTAAAACCATTTCTAGACATTGAATTCTTCCTAAGAATTTAATACCTACTTGAGCCACGATGTTTGATAATTTTATTTTTTAAAAGTCAGTATAGTAAAGAGACTACTATTACATGCCTTCCACAGTGTTTGTTAGTATGCTTGCCCTGCTCATTGCTCTTTGTCGGAGATGGGGATCGTTCAACATATCCTCAGAAAGAAGATAAGAACTGGATCGCCTTTTCTTATGAGTTTGACTGGTTGTGCCCTGAAAACAAAGAAAATTAGTTAGACTTAAGAGTAGGTTTCTCATAAATTTTGGTATAAGATAAAATCTTGCTAAGATCATTGTCTTGAGTAATTAAGACTACAGGGTAATTGCTGGGTACCAATTATGGTTCTGCTACTAACTAACTATACATTATAAGAATGTTACTGAGTCTATTTTATCTTCAGCAAAATGGAGATGCTAATAGTACCCACATCATTATATTGTAATGAGAAGGAAAGGTATTTATAATTAGGATCATTTAAAAAACCTAGTTACTTTTATTATTATAGATATTATCAAGTCTCCACTTTTCTGCATTTCCAATTTTTCAGATAACATTACCAGATAAGAGTCCTACATGAAAAAAGCTATACGTGTTGAGGCAACGGTGTGTAATAAAAGGATACAGTCTCTGTATTCCTGATGAATTTCTATAATTATTTGTATAAATAACAGAATAATGGAGGCTATTGTGGTTCCATTTCTGTCAATACAGATTTCATAAATAGATGTGAATATGTAAGACTAAGAAAACAATTAAGATGGTGGGGACTACAGCAAAATGGAGAATGCAAGCTCCATCTAAAAGAGGTGACCACTGGTTGGCTCTGAAGGACGGTTGCCATGCAGGAGTATGAACTCTGTCTTACCAGATAAACTCAAATCTATGTGAGATTTCTTAGTCATAAATCTTAGCAAGTAATTAAAATTTAAAACTCCACAGCAAGTTCAATGCAAGGCAACAATGCAAACACATGTACATACATGTGTACACACACATGAGCAACAACACAACTTTGCGATGTGTTTATATAGACACATCATTTTACAAATATATATATACACAATACATATAGTAAATATATATGTACACACACAATACATATATTTTACAGACATATATCCTTTTAGAAGTAGGAAGCTGTATAGTTGTGTGTGCATGTGTATGCATGTATTTATAAGTTTGGTCTTTAAGACTGATTGATAAACACACGTACCACTTACTGACTCACTCACTCTCAGCTGTCGAGTTGGAACCCACTCATAGTTGACTCTGCAGCAAATTTCCCAAGGCTGTAAATTGCATGACAGGAGATTGGTCATCACCTCCTGTAGAACAACTGGTGAATTCCAATTGCCAGAAGGAGTGAGTGCAACCCCATAGGGATTGTTGCCACCAGAGCTCCCCTTCGTATGTATATATGTATATATACATTTCAATGCACATATATACATGTAATAATATGCACATAGAGAAGTGTGTTTTATATATGAGTATATATGCATATAAACATAGACCTGCATGCATCAGTATGTACATGTGTGTATGTTGTATGTGCGCACACACACATCCATAGGCAAGTGGCTTTTACTGAGATCTCTGATTAAGCATGCTTTCTCTGCTTCAGTTTCTAATTCCTGGATTTCCAGAGGTGGATATTTTCCTTTTCCTAAATTAAATAAAATCAAACAGGAAAGGGAGAAAATTGATTAAAAGAAAGTTTTTTTTGACAAGTTTCAGTTGTAGAATTTATATTCTTTGTAATGCAGTTTCTTACGTATACTATATACCATGTCATGTTATTATATTAATTGCATTTATACTGAATCTTAGAGAATCCACTCCTATAATTTTGAAGTTTCAGTTTTATCATTTATTATGGTATTATTTATTTAGTGGTAAAAATAATGGTATAAATGAATTAAAATAGAAAATAATTTTTAACTATGATATAAATTTCATACTATTTTACAGGTTATATGTATTTTAAAAGCAAAACACAGCAAATATTTGACTTCACAGACATTTAACATGCTTGTTTGTAAGGAGAAATGCATTGCGGGAAGGGCTGAAGCTGGATCATGCAAGCAGAAGTCCCATGGAGCATAAACATATATGTGGTCATGGCTTGATGGAACTTTATTCTCATTTGAAATAATGAACTGTCTGAAAATGTGAATATATCTTATGAGTGCTGAGTTTGCTGGGTTAGACAAAATTCCTAGTGATATTTAGTACGACACTGTCAATGACTTAAATTGATAGGCTAGAAACGTCAGAAACTAGAAATATCCCTCCAAGCCTCCATTGACTTGCTAATTTTGTTTAGTTTTGGAGCATCTGCTTTTCTATTTTTGTTGTGTTGTTTTATCTTTTATTTTTATGTAACTGTGTACCACCATACATGATTTTGGCTGTTAACGTTTTATTCATGGACTCCAGACAAAAGAAACAAAGAGATCTTTTTCAAGATAACAGGTAAGTTTCATTGTTCTAGACAAACTCTAAAGCATAACTTTTCTAAATTATTTCCAAGAAGCTTGCTACAGATGAGAGAGAGAGATATAAATCCCTAACCAGTGGGTGTCTAATTCAAACTCAGTGCTATAATGTACTAGCTAAATGACCTTAGGGAAATGGCACTATTTTTCTATGTCTCAAACGCCCCATGTATAAAACAGAGATAATATCACCCAACACAGTGATTGTAAATACTAAAGGTAATATTAAGTAGAAACCTGAGAAAGATTAGGTCCACAATTCAGCTTTCTTTACAGAAAGAAATAGGATCTTCTACCTACTAACATATCAGCATTTTCTGTGCTGATATCTGTCTTTTATAAACTGTTTCCTAAAGAAATGACTTTTAATGGTCAAATGGAAAATTGATAGCAGTAATCTTTTTTTTTCTTTTTGATGATGTTGTTAGGTGCTGTTAAGCTTAATAGTATCGTAAAAAATGATCTATTTTTTTTTTTTAAAGTTAAATAGCTAAAGGACAGGGCAGGAGGCTAATGAGCTAAGGATGTGTTTTTGCAGATGTATTGCAAAATGCAGAGCCATTCAAAGATCGGAGAGAAGACCCTCCAGCAGATAGACCGACTGATGCAGGAAAAAGGGTCCAGCCATGCCTAAGCTATTTAAAATGTCCTTACGCTTTCATCAGAAGTTGCCTTATCTATTATCACCTCTGGTAGAAGCTGTCCATTGGGGAGCATGAGGGCTGAGGGTCCATCAACCAAGGAGACCACACCATTGCAGTCCACGGCACTGTGCATCTTCCTGTTCACCGGCAGCATTGGGGGGGACCTACTGGCTTGACTGATGTTACTGCTGCGCCGCTCCGGTGCTCTGTGAGGCACAAACAGTGAGCCCCTTCGGCTTTCATTGTCTCCAAAAATGCTGTGCTCATCATCAGCAAATTCAGTCTCGGAACCTAGGTCTCTTCCCCGGCCCTTGAAACTGAAGAGACTTGTCCTGCTGCTACGCCTTGCAAAAAACAAGGAGCCATGGAAACTGCGCGGGGACTGTGGAAGAAATACAAGAGGACATGTGCTGTCAAGGGGCCTAAAATGAGAAAGTCACTTCTCATAATTGCCACTAATACCACTGATAGGAGAGTTGGTATTTTGGGATTGGTTTAAGACACATGTTTAAAAACAAAGCAATTCAACAGGAAGACTTTATACAAGTTATGATTGGAATTATTTGAAAAGTTGAATCTCTCAGGAACAGCCAAAATATTAGTTGCTGCATTGTTTCCTACTATTTTGACATATTATTTGTGTCATTCATCTGGATAAAAATAATATGCTGATTCAAAAGTTTTGAATATTGGTATTCATTAATTTGTTTTCAAATTTAAGTTTCCAAGTTCCCCAAATAATTGAAATGTTCTTGAGAATAAGAGACTATGCCTAATTCTTCTTCTCATTTATTTGCTTGTAAATGCCTATGATTCAGTGAGAACTCAGTTAAGGAAAAAAAAAACAACAAAAAAAACCGTTTTGGTAATAATACTGAGTACAAGAAGGCATGAAGTATTAGATACTGAAAAAAGTTACCCAATATCCAAAAACGTCATGCAAATATGACTCATACCTAAGATAGACTATAATAAACCTGTTTGGAAGCAAACAATTGAATAAATATTAGTGCTTACAATGAAAAAGACGCAGTGATGGGTGTTTTGAGCAATGTAGAAATCAATATGGCAAGGTTCTACATCAAAACTAGCTTGTACTACTTTGGTTATACTTCTTTTTACTTATAAATAATTTTTTATGCATTCAAGCCCTGTTACTCCAAGTAGACTGTGCAACCTTTCAAAACAAGAGCTCAAACCATTATTCATTTGTATTCCTGTAAAGTCTTTCAGACTAAATAGTAGAACTATAATCCTTAATTGAAGAGTCAATGAGCATAATAATTTTTCCCAAAGCAGGGAGGAACAGAGAGGGTGGGGTGAAGAGGACAGAGGAGAATTTGTGGTTTAGACAGCACTTCAGCTGAGTCTAGAAGAGGGTGGTACAGTGACAGGAGGGGAAACAAAGAGTAAAATCATCCCAGTCAGAGAAAAGCTCTGTGTGTCAAGTAATAAAGGCATGAACGTACAGGGTATGTAAACAAGAGGGAGCATAGATTTTGGTGAGCTCAGAACTGGAGGTAGAAAGGGTAGCAAAATGAAACCAGAGCCAGTTCATAGTGTGGATTAAATGTGACTTTGTTCTGGTAGATCTTCTTTATGTTTTTTCTAACGCCAAGTAGAAAGATGATTTAGATCTTTACTTCAGAAAAATTGTTTTGGGATAGAAAATGGAAAATACGGAAGTTTTAAGGAGAATGCAACACTTCCTCTGGGTGAACTGCACAGTCCTCTTGGCAGAGGGATTAGACATATGGAGATTTTTAGGGAGAAAAAGGAAAGAAGAAATCCTTCACAAGTAAAATTGATTACTCTGGCATTAAATATTAGGGGCTGGTATGTGTGGAGGTTGCCAAAGTCAGCCCTAAAGATTCTACCTTGGGTGACTGAAATATTGGTGATCCCACTGAATAGAGTGGTGAAGAAAAGAGGATAAACTGTTCTAGGACTAGTTTTAACTTTACAGCAGTGATGAATTTAAAAATAAAGGCATATTAATAAAAATATTATAGTTAACCTGTAATTTATTTTTCATTAACACTATAGTTATAAGAAGAATTTTGTTATGGAAAAATTATTTATTCAAAAAATGCTATTTAAGAAAATATAACAATTCAGAAACTATAAGCTTCCTCAAAAATGATCAAACTTAAAGAACTATACAAAACCTCCTTCTAAAAAAATGTGCAGTGAGAGATAGCTTCTACCTAAAAACCTAGCACAGGGATATGACCACTCTTTTCTCATTACCCAAACAAAAAGGAATTTGTTCTTATCATCAAGCTTCTGATGAAACCCAGAGAGGTTAGATGTTACCTGATTGGGAGTGGATAATCTCTTTTCTCGTGCTCGCCGAGGTCCTTCAACCTCAAGATACACACTTTTTCTCTTGATACTTTCTTCAGATTCGGATTTAGACAGTTTTTCACCATCTCCCTTTTCTTCACCACTAGAGAGTTTCTTTTGATTCTTTTTCTTTCTCCTGTTTCTTCTTTCTTTAGCACTCTTAGAGCTCAGTTTGGATGTTTCAGAAGAACTCTCTGAAAGGCCCATAATTCTGCTTCTCCCAATACTTGTGTATTCAACAGCTGCTGCTGCTATTGCCTGTTGAACCAAGAGTAAGGGGTTCCACATATGGTAAGACATTTCCAAACTGTGGGAAAGACTATGATAAAACACTTCCCTGACATGATTTTAATTGTGTTGTGTATATAATCATGTTTCTTGTACAGGAAGTGTGTTTGCACTATTATTTGAACTTTGTCTTTACGCTATGATATGAAAGCTTTGAATGTTTATCTGTACTTTCTTGGTATTGTATTACAGATCCAATATCCACGGGTACTATATTATTACATTGTATGACTATTTTACAGTAAAAAACAATGAAATACTATATGTAAAAGTTATCAAATTGCATACCTTAAAATTATTTTAACTGGTACATCCTATACAAATAAGGTACACAATATCATCCTTGATAGCAATATAATTAACCAATCTATATTTTCATGCAACAGTCTTAGCACCAGCAGCCAGGAAATTAAAAGGCGCATTGCCATGGGCAAGTCTGCTGTTAGGGACCTCTCCAAAGTGCTGAAGAGCAGTGGTGTCTCTCTGGAGACTAAGGTGCGTCTGACACAGGCCATAGTCTTCGCAATCACCTGTTATGCATCAGAGAGTTAGACAATGACCAAGGAGGATAGAAGGAGAACTGATGCCTTTGAGCTGTAGTGCTGGAGAAGAGAACTGAGAATACCATGAAGTGCTAGGAAAACAAATAGATTTGTCCTGGAGAGAGTTAAACTGGGTGGCTCCTTGGAGGCAAGGATTCTGAGGCTCCGTCTTAACTTACTTTGGACATGTAGTGAGGAGAGACCGGTCCTTGGAGAGGGACATCATGCTTGGGAGGGTGGAGGGACGGCGCAGGAGAGGAAGGCCCTCTATGAGGTGGATTGATTCAGTGACTGGGATAATTGGGATGGGAGTGTCAGAGACAGTGCGATTGGCACAGGACAGAGTTTAGGGCTGTTGTACATAGGGTCGCTATGAGTCGCAGGCGACTCAACGGCACACAACAACAACAACAACAACAACATATTTTCATGCACATTATTATCTGAATACTAAAAGGGAATTAATAAAAAAGTTATTTCAAGGAAATGGTAAGACCAGTCCTAAAATAGAATTCAGTGAATCCCCTAGTATGGTCTTAGTACCATCTCTTTATTAAACAATTCCTAAAACAAAACATTGACCATAATTTTAAAAGAAATTTTTAATATACATACATACATAAATATATATAATTTAGGGGAGCTTGGGTGGCATTGTCCGTAGGAAGGTGTGTTGTTAACCAAAAGGTGGCATATCTCTGATACTTCAAATTTACCAGCAGCTCAGTGGAAGAAAGATGGGGTTACCCTTGCGGTAGACAGACTCTGAAAACTTTCAGAGGGTCAACGATGAGTCAATTCTTATTCAATGATAATAATTTTGAGTTTTTAAGTTTTGATAAATTATTTCAAAGTGTGATTATATTTTATAATCTGTTTTGAATACTACTTTTTAATATGCTATTTTTCTCATATCATTCTAATTTTCCTAAAAAAGCATAACTTTCTTGTGGAATAGTACTCTGAGGTATAAAAATATCTTAATCTTCATAATCACTTAAATGATTTCTGATATTTTATAAGAATATTTCACTGAATATTTTGTGCATCAGTGTTTCCCAACATTGTAGATTATTACCTTCTCTTACATCTTATACTTCTTGCAAAGATTTAATTAAGAAAAATTATCTGGCATTTATCTTTCAATATGAATTTTCCAACATTATTTGAATGTGGATGACTGGCCATGTGGATAGCAGAACTATGCAAATTGGGTGTGTTGGCCTATCCACAAAGGGATTGGCTAGCTATCATTTCACTGGGAAGTAGCCAGTCTCAACAATCTGGAAGAAAATTTGCTAGTCTCACCAATAAATTGAACAACTCTAGCTGCAGAGATCTGATCTTCCCCTGAAAGAGACCTTCCCCACCACAGTGAAAAAGAAGCAGGAAAATGTAGAACACACTTTGAGATGACAGCAGCAGCAGCAGCAGCAGCATGCCAAACTAGAGACCTGACTGAGATAATGATGTAAGATGACACCTTGGAGGGAGGGGGGAATCAATATTGGCAGGACTGATAACTTTGTTGGACAATTGAGTGGAAAGACATTATTGACACGACTGAGAACTTTGTTAGACAATTACAAGGGCAAGAGTCATTACTGGCAATACTGAGAACTTGGGTATCACTGGCCTGAAGATGCAAGACTCGAGGCTGAGACACCTATGTGTACATTTTGGGAGCTGTCTTGACTATATTCTGCTACTAATCTGACACTTTCTCAGTATGGTTTTGTGTTGTCTGTGAGCTATCACAGGATTTTGGATCCAGCAAAACAATAAGACTGCTGTTGAGATGAGTAGAAAGAGCTAAGTGAACATGGGGACAAGCCTGACTTCATAGAAACTGATTTTGTGTTATTGATTATGTGGACAGGGACAGTTCCCTTTGTGAAGTTGATAAAGGTCAGACATGTCAGTTCCCATGTGGCCTTTGCCAAACTATCAAACAACTTTGAGATTTTTGTGTATTAAAACAAATGTAAGGTTGTGTTGGTTTTGTTTTTTTTTCTTTTTCTGAAGTACCCCTTTGGGAAGAGGAATAAGGAATCTTAGGATGAGTGATTTAGCCTAAAGTAGCCATAATTATAACTATGACTCTAATATCTCATGCTCTGTCTTTAAAATTCTTAGAAATCAAAAAAGTAAAAATGGGTATATGTTTTGCATATTTTGTTAAAATAAATAGAGCATGTTTTAACTTTAACATTAAAATAATTTCCCTAGACCTTTGTGTGTAGCTGTTATTCCAGGGAAATAAGGAATAACCTTGGAAGATTTTTTGCATGCAAGACTCAACTGATTATGGGGAAGGTGAAATGGGGCAAGTGTCCCGTTCTAGTTCAGTCCATATAAAAAATGACAATTCAGTTAGGGAGGATGTGAGAAAAGTGTGGTTACATTTCCTATGTTGTAATTAACTCTATAGCACAAAATACATACAAGTAGTTGAATGAAAAATACATTTGCTTTGTGAAATTTTACTCAAGTTACAATCTGGAAAAAACCCTGAAATAATAGAAAAACTCACTAAGGGAAACTTACATGGAAAGTCCAAGGATAGATCACAGAGCTTGACTTGTTACCGTTTTCAGTTTTAAGAAGAATTTTAATTGAAATAACAATACCTCAGCTTCTTCTTGTTCTTTTTTAAGATGATCTAGCATCTGTTGAAATTCTAACTCTTTCTGCCTAGCTTCTTCAATGTTTGCTTGATTCTGTTCTTCATAGGCCATAGCAACCACAGCCAGGATCAAATTTATGAGATAAAAGGAACCCAGAAAAATAACTACAACGAAGAAAATCATGTAAGTTTTCCCAGCAGCACGCAGTGTCTAGGAGAGAAGAGAAATTACTATATTAATATAACATTTCTTGGTAAATTATTTGAGCTTGAAAAATATGTCAGACATGAGTGAAGGAAGTAATTTTGTATAATTTTATGTTATCAAAAGATTTGAAGGAATAAAATTGTATCTCCACTAACAACAATCAATATTAAAGAAAATATCTTCAGTGTAAATATAAAACAATTTATTAAATGAGGACTAAGATAGAGCATGGTCCTTGATTATTACTAAGCATAACTGCATATTTTTCAGACTGAAAATTACTCATAAAACTCACTACTTTGTTAATTTTACCATTTCATTAAGAGCTAACACCTTTGGTTGCTTTCACTATTAAAATTCATTTTTCCTTAAAGATAAGATACTAATATTGTGTGTCATTATACTTTTAATTTGCATTTCTCTTATTTTTAGGAAAGGTGATAATCTTTTTACATATTTAAAAGGTCATTGTATTTTTTCTTTTTAAAAAATATCATCTTAAAATCATTTGTAATAGTTTCAGAAATTACGCTAAAAAATAAAACAATCTAAAAAGGAATCTGTTGTTTCTCTAGCAAAAGTGATTCATTATTTTTTTA